CATTTGTCGACGCGTAAATAAATTTGAAAAGCTCGCTTGACGAAAATATATTTATCAATTTAGACAATTGAATAATTTATACGGGAATGAATGGCATGCTTGATCGTAGTCGTGTGCGTGTACAATCGGTTTCACCGCGTCAGCTAGATATGAGAAAGACAAAGCGCGTAATTAATTCCGCTCGTAGAAAGAAATCGTGCAGTCGAGCGAGGCACAGCGTTGAAAATTCCGAATTCCATGCGAAACACGATCGCTCGGGCGCAAAAGGATGTTACAAAGCTCTCGGGCGTTGTAATCCAGATAGCCTGATTGCGAGGAAAAAGTCAAGAGGAAAGGAACACAATGCTGTACGAGATTACTGACCGATATTTGTCGTCCGCGACGGCAGTTTTCGATCACGCAAGTATGAGAAACACTTTGAAAAAGTACGAAACAGAATGACGGTCAGAGAAAAAAAAGAACATTTTGTCAGGTCGCTGTCGCTCTATGCTTGATTTATCTATTGTACGCACGTACGGACGTATAGCTTTTCTGAAAAGGAAAAAAGTTTCTGCTGCTATATTTCTGCATGCTGCTATATCCACGATGCACTCGCTATAGTGAGCAACTTACTTTAATTCTTTTGCGTTGAAATTCAACCCACAGCTATTGCAGTACACTCGGATAAATCGTGGACGCGTAGTGCACTTCGAAAATTGTTTTATGCAATTGCAGCAAAGAGATTTATACAGAAAATATTCCATGCATATTGCCCAATGTTTCAGTCAAAGATATTAAAGTTAAAAATGAGAGTCAGTTTAAAGTAGTAGAGCTTTCATGCTTGTATTATAAATGATAAAAAAAGTTTTGTACATTACAAAGTTTTATAAAAACTTAAAATATAAGCTCATAATAAATATTGTCTCTCAGATATTTCAAAATTTGAATAGATATTTTCTTGTATAAATATCCATTCCAAAATTGTAACGCTGTTTGCATTTACTGTTAATAAATAAAAAATGAAAATATATATATTCAAATATAAAATTTGCAAAAGAATAGTTGCAATTCCGTTATCTGCGTTATTGTCCATTATCACATAAGCTCTTTATGTTTATGCGCTTAACACGTACCAAGTCGTAATGCGAAATAAAAAAAAAGATTCTCTTGCATACAGTAAATAGAAGAGATGAAATATTGTGTGTTCATCGATATTTCATTAGTTTATTGAAGAGGAAATTGTTTCGCAAATACTCATTAAAATACGTGACTATTTTTTGCGTGACGCTCAATACTAAATATGTTACTTTTAGCTTATTACAGAAATTTTTAGAATTAAAAAAGTAAATTTATAGTTAATGTTCTTTTTCTAATAGTATTTATTATATTATTTTATAGTTAATATATAAATATATTGTTGATGTCACGGTCGTCAGTAATAGGTAAAAAATCCGTTTTTTATCATGCGTCATCATGCACATAATAAGTAAGATGTCTACTTTTTACACGTCGTTGTCACGACGGTTTATTATCCCATTAAGAGAGAATCTCATGAGAGCTGAGGTACATGCTTTCACGAAAATTTTGTCAGCAGTTTTCTTGGGGTTCAGCCAGAGCGTCACTATACTTTACTAAGAGAGACATTGAGACACCATAGCATAGCGAGATGTCGCGACGCGATAACGACGTTTGATGATGATTGAACGAAAGATTTTTCTATGGAAGAATTATATGCTGAATGTGTATAGAGTGCAATACAAAAAAATATTAGACAATGCGATCGTTGTGACAGACATCTTACTTTAATCGTCTTTTCTGATAACACGGAGCAAATATATTGAAGAGACAGTCAGCAGGAATTTTCAACGACGGAGAAACTCATTAAAAGTTTTTTTCTTTACTTCCACGTTGATCGATAGATGAGCAAATGAAATAAACTGCTCATTAGCTTTTAGCGAACCGTAACATTTCAATTCAATTTAATTCGCGCGGAAAACAGTGCCTTTTTCTCATGCCCTTTTTTTCTCATATTTTACCTTCTCTTCAGAAAGCTTAGTTAAATCGCGGTATGCAACGAGAAAGTGTGGATCAATAAATCAGAAATTATTAAAAATAAATTTTTATTATAATATCATTATTATAATAAAAAACGTTTTAATAGTAATTGTTAATTTGTTGCTATTTTGCTTTTCGCATTTTTAAGTTATATATAGTAAGATCATGATAATTATTTAGCAAACAATAATAAAAAAATTAGCTGGTAATATATGAAAGAAGTGGAATGCAATAAAAGAAATAAAAAAGTTTTATTAGATAGTAGTGACGTTTTGATAAGCCGTTATAAAGATTCAAGACATAATATATTATCGTCCTACAACATCTCATAACTCTTATTACTAAAGTTAAGAACACAATGTATATCATGACAAAAGCTGTTAAGTTCAAGTATAGCTTAAAATTTTAGAATTTACATTTTTCAAATTTATCTTCAAAAGTGTTCACTTTTGTATCTTTGCTTTTGTTAAGAATAATCCAAGAAACTAAATATCAATAAGCTAAAATG